CCTCGCCCCGCCCATTCTACGACTTTTTTTTCGTTCGTTTCGATAAAAATGTGTTCTGCCAGACTATAATCTATCTCTGTGTCAAATTTCATCCAGATCCCTTTTACCGTTTATGCATGTAAGAGTAACAAACATCCATACAAACTTTCGGTTTTCCGGGTTGGGGTTATTTGCAATTAAATTACAGCATTTCCATATACATAAACTAGGTTTAAAGTAACTTTTTCCTATTTTTATTTTGATACGACAATCAGAAGTGTGTTAAATTTGACTTCGAACATTTATTTACATAGTTACAAGTAAAGTGATTGAAAGCATGTTAATAGAAAAGATAAAAACCTAGGTATCTTACTTAAAATCCTTTTTTTAAGAACGAAGAAGAAATCACTACACCTAAATATAATTGATATGAATGGAATAAGAGACCTTCAATCTTGCTTTATACTCGGCATTCTCACGCTACGAAAGCGTATTAATATTGTACCTCTAGGTAAGGTAGTATTTATAAGGCGAGGCAAATCTCGAGCCATTCAAGCAACTCCGTAACATTTTCACCATACATGAATGAGTTTAGACCTACCTAACTGGTATTCAATTTATAAAAGGAGTTTCTAAATAGATTGCTAACCTGTATGTGCTTGGATACATTACCGTTTTAAAACGAAAGTGGACACAGATATATGATTTAAATGTTTTTTGCAAATCGTGGCAAAGACGGCCTTCGCGTGTATTTCAAGAGTTTGTCTCTATGAATATATTTTGTGTTAATTTCTTTCATAAAATTTAGAAAGTGATACAAGCTAAAATAAATAAAAATTTAAAATAGTAAAATGTGAAATGTAATACTCCGCACTTATTAAGGAAGGGCCGCGTGCTAAGGCGCATATTCAGAGGGGCCTTTGTCCCGCAATGGGCATCTATATGCATGCCATTGATTGATCGATACAAATAGAAAAAAAAGGAGCGGCACAAATGTTGCAAAAATTTGTGAAACTGAGGGAAATATTGTGATTGCCTTTATTTTATCTAGAATTGTATATTTAGTATGTACAGTTCTTTAATAACCTTTGTAAGTAATTTGTACCACCTGTTTTATAGTACTCAGATATTAAAAAATGTAAAGTAAAAGTAGTTTTTAGGGAACATTCAAATACATCCCACGCTTTTGCCCACGCGCCTACCTACCTACCTACGATACGGGCGTATCGAACAGTTGACCAATGCTGGCCAAAAAGTTCTCCTACGTTCAGTACTATAATAAACTTTCAAAATCTATTATATAAAACCATTTTAGAGTTATATTTGAATTATTGTCAATCTTGTGTAGGTCGAGGTGATTTACATTTGGTTGTGAGTTGCGGAATCATTTAGCGAGGGAAGTTGCGGTTTCCGGACTGATTAGATATATATTGAAATGTATTTGTGTTGTTTTAAAACGGATGGTATGTGAAATACAAGAATACATCCTCTCCTATATCTCCGAAGGGGTGGGCTAAGGGCTATACGTCTAAATTTTGCCAACTATAAATGATAAGATATTTATTTCTGTAAGTAAATCTTTTCAGAAATTTTTACAAGTCGGACTTTACAGCTAGATGGAGCCGGCATTTCCTAAGACCTACTCTATAAAAAAATGCCGAAACTAACCACAGAGGTCTCTTTTTTTTTAGTCCGTAAATAAAGTTAAAAAATAATTTTGGTATCACTAAAGTAACAGGTCTCAAGCCTATTATTGTGTATTGAAAGTAAAGCAAATATTGGATAATAAAGAAAGGCAAATATAGGAAAGGGATATTGCTTATGCCAATGGCTTGAGTAATATAGGCAATATATTTGGCAGGTCAAGGTCTCGAATTGCCTGTGACTCGAATTTTGTGAAGTATATTTCACATCGTGTTTGAATAGTAAAGAATAGCAATTAAAGTAGGATTCATCATCATCTCAGCCGAAAGACGTCCACGGCTGGACATAGGTCTCCTAAAGGTTCGCCACAATACAACTTTCTACGCTGCCCCCATCCAATGGCAATATTATCCAACGGCATTTATCATAGGTGTGTTTGCGTAGACCTTTTTACCCGATTCCGCCATAAGGTGGGTTATGTCTTATGGCTTAATGGATTTCGGCGTTTCAGGTGTAGTTAGATTTGTCTTAATTGTGAAAGTGAGATATAAAAATTAAAATCACCGGTTTATGAATTTTGCAGTATCCATTTACACGCAGTCGAGTTTTTATTTTGTTTCAATAATTTACTTGTTGGAGCGAGACCGATAAATTTGTAACAAAACTTTTGTGACTATCAAAAAGCAAAAAGGTACTTCGTTTCGACCGGGGGTCCATAGACCCCTTATGCGTTTTTAATATACATACTTCGTATATGTATCTTAAAAAAGGTTACAAAACAACAGCTTATGGTACTTATTGGTATAAAACCTATGTTTTAAAGCCAATCGCTGCACCCATTATATCTGCCGTTCAAAAGTTGTGTTAATATTGCCTGAAGGTCTGACCAACTTGGGCAATATAAATTTCCCCATCCAACAAATTGTGAAGTTATTTCCACACCTTCATGAATACTCACTTATGTGAGTACTCATGGTAACCCATTTAAAGGCGAGTTTATGACTATATCGTGCTACAGGAGCCGTTAGCGCACGCCATATTATTTTCGCAATAGGCAGTTTTTGCTATAAAAGCGTATTACTACGTATGGAATAGTTATATGTAACGAAAGGTCTCGTTACATTCGCACGTTCCAATACTTTGACAGTGACTTGAGTGAGTGGTCTGATTCATAAGCGATTGGAATATAAATTAAAACGTAAAATAAATCTAGGAGAGGTGTGAACTAAGATATATTATTTTAAAGAGGGATACTCTTCAACGTTCTATTTTAAGTTTTGACAACGGGATAGTTAAAACTTAAGTTTAGTTAATTTAAGAATCAGTTTAATTCCGTTAAATTATGTATTTTTAAGTTTGCTTATAATACTTGTCACCAAAAGTATATGATATTGTTTATTTAAAGTTATATATGACGAATGAAAAATTTTAAGCATTTTTAGCAATTTAAACATTCAATCACACACAGACTTTGGTCTGAGTTTTAGGTTAACGATCAACAAAAATGTATTATCAATTTTTTTCTTAAAACGCCCGAAAACATAGCTGAAACGCCTTAATAAATATCTATAACACTACTTTCTTCCTCTAGGTCCACTACAAAGTTTTCCAAAAAGCAGCATCTGTTAAAAGACCCTTATTACCCGCTCTATCGTAACACTTGTACCATACAAAAGTGGCGGATAAACGCAACTAGGACGCGTACCATAGACCATGTCTAACACTCTACAGAGAAGAATGAGGAACTCTTGCAAAACTAACAATTATTGTGTGGAATATTGCACGCCAAAATAATATATTTTAGGTATTTTGTTTATGATATTATAAACTGTTGACTGTATTCTGAATGCTAAGTCTAAGGTTCGACCCCACTCAGGACTAATAATTGTATGATGAGCATGATCATTTTTTCTGTGTCTGGGTGTGATCTGTAATATGTATGTATTAATAAATGTAATAAAAATTAAGTATGGTGCGTCCGTGTGGTGACGGATTAAGAATACAGAGTGTCACCACCCCTATTCCTCCCGCGGGTGTCGTAAGTTACGCCTAAAGGAGCTTTATGTTTGTTTGTAACCGACTCCTTTGGGCGTGATTTTGACTGACTTTAAACGGTCAGAATTCGTTCAAACTTAGTACATATATCGAGGACCGATGACAATACACTATTTTAAAATAAAAAATAAAAATAAATAACATTAAAAAAAAGTTTAAAAAAATTAAAAAACACGCTTTTCATAGAAAACCAAACTATAAAAATCTATTTTTTAGTTGACTTCTTTAATGTTATTTATTTTATTTTTTTATTTTAAATTAGTGTATTGTCATCGCGTGTTTAAACTATTATTATTTAAATATCTCTCCAGTTAATTCTGATATATGAGTTTGTCGTCGTCCAATAAAAATCAGTCTCAAATAGAGACTAAAATTAATGCTTCAAACGAATGCTATTAAGTTTATATTATGAAGGGTGAACGTACTTAATGTGGTCAGTTACAAGAGGGTGTTTTTGGATCAATACAACTGGCGTGTTCTTTATCAGGGAACATGAAGCAAAATTTGGAAATGAATCAACTTATTACTTAATTTTTACCTTTTAAAATAGTGTCACCGACTTCAATGTGACTACGTCATGATAATTTGTAATAAACTCCATTATTTAATTTTCTGCCTTAGAGGTAGTATATTGTTAGTTGTTTTGTATCTTCAAATGAGAATAGAATGGGAAGTATACCCTCCTAAATAAAAAGGAAAATTCGGTTATTCGGTTAGTAAAAAGCGCAAAATAATAATATATCGATAAGTTTTGTTCTGCTATTTATTACCTACATCGTAAAGTCAACATTGGCAAAGCATAATTTAACGACATCATTCAATTAAGTAGCGCAAAGCGCCGTAATTACCGATAAACGGATTGTCTAATGCATGGCCACACTGAACTGATTGTTGTGTATTGTTGCAGTATTTGATTTGCAGTCTATTTTGGCAAGGTCTTTGTGTGCCATTCTTAAAAGTATTTTTATCTTACTAAGTTCCTAAACAAAAGATTTACAATGACTATGGAAAAAATTAATAAAGTTTTAGTAAACAGTGACTATAGTAGACTAGTAATTATACTCTCGTAAAACTTGTATTTCACGGACGATATTTTGATGTATTTCTATAATACCCACACTTACTATAAAGTTTTGTAATAAAAGTCAAATTATTACGCGAACGAATCTTGTTTATAGGCAAAAAAAAATATTTCGAAACATTTTAATGTATTGATTTCCAGGCATACAAATGCGTGTGCGAGTGTAAGTGTGACAAGGTAGTGACAAAGGTGACATCAGTGTAGTGTAGTGAACTATGTCGTGAAGAGCACTCTTGCTACGATGTATCGACCGAACTTCTACGAAAGCACGTGCTTTCGTTGCAACGAGATCGTCTACCAAGTGGACAGAGTCGGACCCCTCAAAGATTTCACCTTCTTCCATAGCGGCTGTTTCAAATGTGCTGTTTGTGGCACTAAATTAACTTTAAAGGTAAGTCGTTGATCATTACAGGATTTTTTCTGTCGTAAAAATCTACCCATGATTTCTAATTCATGTATTTACTGTGTATTTATCCATCCAAAGGTTGCCTATAAGAGAATGCTATGCCTCCTCTGAATAGACTGTCATTTGTACATTCGTTAATAGTATTTCGTAAAAAACTGTTCTATTCTACTTTCAAATTCTCGTGATTAGACTACGATCCCGGCTTTGTCAAGAGGCCGTCAGACAAACCACTCATTGTTTGACTTGTAAACTTTTACGTTCCATGATATATAATTATAAGTATCAAATTTGCCCGTGACCACAGCCATTGCAACTAACCTGGCAATATTTTTGATATCACCACTGATGGGCCACTGCTATTCCATCACCACTGTAAAGACACTGAGTTAGTGTAGACTACCGATATTTATATAGGCATCAGTATAGACCCTGGTCGATCACTTAGTTAATTCAAAGGTATATGATCCCTATTACGAGATCACGTTAACTCCAGCACAGGTACAATGTATTTTTTTTTTAATTTGTTTTAAAAAAGACTCAAATATAAAATTTTATTGGCGCATTACTATTCCGTTTAATGATGTAACATGGCAGAATGCAGTATTTTAGGTATTTTTATTACCGGTCATATTGATTATCGAACCATAGGTTCACAAAGCTCTAGAACAATATTTTATTGACTCACACTATGTTTTGTTTTTGTTTCTGTCGTAAAGATAAATAAACAAGCATAAATGTTTATGTGAACTAAATAATAATGGCGTATGTGCAATTATTGTTCACTATTCCATATTTATTATATAATAAAGATGTTGGTGGTAATGATCATCCATTATTCATTATTTTATTATTTGTTTAGTCACTGGAGAGTATTAAACGGTGTTGATAAGTTAATAATAAATAATGGATATTATTGTTTATCTACGTATATTTATTATATTATTATCTGCCGAGTTTCATAATACAAATATTTTAGGTCTTAGCAACAATATGGTTATAGAATTTTTTTAAATACATCTGGTTCTCTTTCATCTTTCACTTATAATAAGCTAAACGTTTTAAAACAATAACTTACAAGTAACAATATGCAATAATATTTAAGTTAAATAATTTTAAACACCTGTCTATCATTATTATTATTTAGCTATAGGACGTCCACAGGACATATGCCAGCGATCTTTACAAAGTCATCTCTGCACATAATTGATTGAAGTCCTGTGCTGGCTGTGTTTTTCGGTCCGTATTTTCCACACCAGGAACTATTGTAACTCCTCTGTCACTTTAAGTTTCTGATAGCCTGTAGCGTTCTTTGTAGGCTATAAAACGACGTTAAGACCCCTTATGAACTTCTACGGATATTCAAGATAGCTGATGTAAGTGTAATACTGACCGAATCACGAAGATCGTGTCCATTGAAGAATTGGCAAAATTTAACAGACGTTCTAAAAACAATTACGTTATTTCCTATATTTACGTATCCTGTCGACCTTGGTGATATCTTCGCGACCTTCCGTAACGCTGGCATTTGGGCGACCTTGGAATACCAACTTTTAAAAGCTTAATATGTTAACACAGAAAATTTAAATATTATGTACGTTTATATAATTAGCTGGATAAGGTTTATGTGTTAGTCACGTTATTATTCTATTTTATGGATTCCAAATGGAAATTATCTATTTTGTATTAACATCGTAGGTGTCGTAAAATTCACGAATTATTGACTGCCTCTAAACAACAATTTATGGATCATAGAAAGTGTCGTCTCATGTGGGGATCGGACCAACAACAATCAGCGTAGGAGTAAGCGGCGGTGGCGAACGCTTAAACCACTACACAATCCGTCTCTGCCTACCCTAGACAGGAATGTGTATCTGTGTACGTATGTACAAAGTGATAATACTTTTGCAAACCGTAGTACTTATTAATTTATAACGCCACTTATCTGCTATCCCAGTTGCCTGTCGAATCACAAAACGCACTTACGGATAGGCGATCATGACCTAACAGCTACTGCAGCCTTAGAGCCTTAGCTACTACTGTCTTAGTCCTATTTCCCAATTCGAGATTCGCGATATGCCGTTACTTCCACTCTCGTATGGGACTTCACAGCAATACTAAAAGTTGCCACAAAGACGCTATTTAAATCATCTGACAAAGATGTAAAAGGCCAATGGAATGAGCTTCTCCTTTGGTTCTGTCTGGAAAACTTTTACATTTCCTAGAAGAGTGGCCTATGGTAGGCGGCTTGCAATAAAAGAAACATTATGAGTTAGAACTTCCTGCATCCTCCCAATGAGTCAGTTTTTAACAAAAAAGTGGTACTGACTCATAATTGTGTCAGTGAGCCAGTGGTACAATTTCCTCATTTATTTTTTAACCGAATCACACAAATGTAACTGTTATAAAAAACAATGTTTTGATTTGTGAAAGATAAATTAACAGTTAGTGAGCTCTGCACTGGGAAACGAGTGAGTATGACACAGTTCTACATCAGACCTGTTACAATGGAACTTTAATGGGGAGTGATCTGAATCGTACTGTCTCGGGAAAAACAGGATTCTGTCACAATGAAATATGCTGTTAGGTAGGTGCGGATCACCAAAAGCATAATGCTCTGATATATAGGCACAATGCGAGGCCAAAGCCCTGCTTAAATCAAGGACAATAAACTCCTACAGAAATTGAAAAGGGACGGCTAAACCAACAGGCCCGCTGTTGGTTTAGCGGATCGCTGTTGAATCCTGACTGCTAAAACCAAAGGTCGTTCGATTCTCATCTATGTCAAATATTGTGTGATGACCACGATGATCATTTGCTGTTACTGCTGTGTCTAGGTGTAGTTTATATGATTACCCTGGTTACCATAGTACAGGCTCTGCCTAATTAGGACTCAGGCGGCCGCGTTTATCATAAAAAAGTAAGCACTATGCCATAAGCGAATTCTTAACAATTACCTACTGTGCAGTGTATTTTCTGGGGATATTTATTTGTATACATTTTATGGGGATATTTTTTGTGAGTGAAATTTTTAAATAGTTTTCGTTAGCTAGTGAAAACGATAGTATTGGTGAAGTATAAATGTAGTATTGATGATCAAAATATTAATCAATCATCGTACGAAATCATTTATTTCTATTGAATTAGCTGTCAATGAGTTAAATGAGTACCACTTTCATTTTACATGTGTGCCGTTAACAATAGCTATGAGAAAGTTATGATTACTCTTAAATACAAGGACACTAAGGTTAAGTTTCGAACTTCACTAGTGCTCGTTACGAGTAGATTTTTTTATTACGACATGATCTTAAAGAATTCGGGACCGGGAGAGGTTTAGGACTTGTCCTAAACCTCTCCCGGTCCCGCTCCGCCGTCTCCTTCGCGAGCATAAATTGCTCGCAGAAGGAGACGGCAGAGTTCCACGCACTCTCGCTCCGCACGATAGCCGCAATCAGGCTATCGAGCGAGAGAACTCCCACTCCGATGGCCGCCACTAGGTCTCGCCTCTGCTCAACCCACGCCGGGCACTATGCCAGCGTGTGGAGAGCCGTGTCCACGGTCTGGCCAGTGGTGGCACTCAGGCGTTGGCTCCTTGCGGATCAGACACAGGTGATCCCCGAAACATCCTTTCCCAGTGATCACCTGCGTCAGTCGGTATGAGAGGGTCCCGTGACGCCTCTCGAGCCAATCCTCCATAACGGGTTGCCCGAGTCGTTCCCTCCACTCTCTTATTCATCACATCTCTATTATTAGGGGTAATAACAGGGATGTGATGTAAAAAAAATAGCTACACTCGTTCTCTCCTACAATGTCATTAACGCATTAAAAGTTGGGTATACAGTTATCTCTCTGTGTTACACGCCAAGAGACATTAGTAAAAAACATGTAAAAAGTTTTTTTTATTATTATTATTATTAAAAGGACTTTGTCGCTGAGCGACTACATCGTCCCATATGGACAGCAACCAATACCGTGAAACATGAGTATCCATGACTTAAAACTACATTATAAAAAGATTTTAATTCATCTAATATCTAGCTACTCTATCTAGCTTACTCTCGAGGCTACAATACCATCGCAACATTTAACAATACATTAACAAACCGACACAATAAATTAATAAAAACTCTTTGTCATAAATTAACTGGCCAGATCGCTGTGACAAGCTGTTAAAGCTTTGTCTCTTATCCAGCACAGCTTGACCTGTCATATGTTTACTCATGAATCGAAACTGAACATACTACAGGTCATTATAAATTAGCTTTACACTATTGTTGGTTTTAATTGTATGAAATGAATCAGTTTTACCGACAATTTGCATGAAAGTAATATAATTTGATAAGAATTGATACAATTTATTAGAATAATGTGTGTTTTATTGCTGAATCAATTATTTTATAGGTTATTAAATTAAGGTTTAATTACAGTGTTTGTATTCTGCAATCGAACTCATAAGTTGAATGGACGATATTTGCATCGCAAAAATAATGTCTTTACGAATTGACGGGATGGGATTTTCTTTAGGTTGTAAAAAGTTTTGTTACAACCAACTCAATTATTAAAAAAATATCAAAAGGTAAGGAATGAGAACCTTATTCTTCTATTCTAAAAAGTACCAACGTAAGGGAGTCCACTCTAAGTGAATACACACTACACTATATGTAGAAAATGAAAGTTTTTAATGATTTAATTTACATTAATACTCAATACATCGAGAAAAATATAACAATACTTCGTTTAAATTTAATTTAGTTTATCTAAAACAATATCAAAACTTAAACATTAAAATGGACAAAAATATTTATAAAAGTAAAACAACGTTAAATAGCGTTTTGAGGATTTTATTTTTATACTCACAAAGTGAAGTCTTCAATGCCTGTACAATATTGTTTTAAAATGTATTCTGACGACCATCGATAATACAGTGTGTTTGTTTACTTAGTTTTACGCCTCTGCCATTGCTGGATTACACAATCTAACACATTCCGAAGTATTAGCGGTACCTATTTAATTATCACGGCACACCTGTAATATGTGTAAAGGTTCGACTTATATATGACCTCTAAATATTTATTACAAATGGTTTGTCTGGTGAGAATATCACATTTTTAGTTTATTGTATAAAAATCTATCTATGAAAATGGCGGACTGCTAAACTCCTGTTTAGCAGTCCACCATTTTGTGTTGACTAAAAACACAAACCTTAGATTAAATGTTATAATAATATGACTGCAAGAGTGGCTAGCCAATAATATTGTTTGTATATAATAACGTTTGTATACAATAATGTTTCATCACACGTCAACAGCCTTTAATAGTCTACTGTTGGACATAGGTTTCTCCTTAGAACGGAGCATTTGGCCAACTATACCACGATGGCCAGACGGGTCGGTATAGGGTTTTTGAAAAGTTTTTCGTCTCTTTGCTGTTGTTCTGTGTACTTTGCTCTCTTAGTCGGCTCTTACGACACCCACGGGATGTACAGGGGTGGTAACCCTCCTTATTTCAAATCCGACACCATCCGGACAGTCCGGACGTCCCCTTAAATAAGGTTGTTTATTATTTATCACAAAATCGGCTGAATATTAAGTCATCAGTTCTTATTCTAACTGCTTATCGAAATGTTAAAAATATAATGAAACAATGGAAATCTTTTCTCTCTCTCTCTCTCAATCTCTTTTGCCGGCTGGTTTTTGTGACACCTATTCAGGTCATTTTTCATCTAATATGTTTTTTCTTCCACCAGACATACTACAATAATCAGCACTGGACAGAAGACAAAGAAGTATACTGTTCGAGCCATGTGCCCAAAATAGGGCCGGGGCACTTGGACAACTCTTCCGTAGGCATTCGCAGCGCACTTAACGTGCCTAAAAGCAATAACTACGTCAATGAACAGATCCGGGGACTCGCCAGGAACAGCCATGACAATGAATGTGAGTTTATATACTATTTAATAATATTTTTACTATTTATTTCATATAAACAAAGTCATATACCTACACTTATTTATACTTTCGAAATTGCCTGATATTAGTCATTATCGCTTCGTTCCTCTGTAATTCTTACAAGCGTTCCTTATCCAACATTCGATTCAAAAATAATCCATTTTTCGAAAGACCAAGGTATACCTACAACGAGTAAAATTGTCCTTTATGAACTAAATACTGATATCAGCGTATTTAAAGCTTTATAATATTAAGATGAAGGATTTCAATTGCATAATATATCCTGTGTGTCAAGCTCATAGGTATGGCTTTAACATACACATATACTATAGGTTTTTAATTAATCTTTTATAATAACTAAACTGCACACGCCAGTAAATTATGAAAAGTTGTAAATCAGATAGTCAGTCAGGGATAATGTAGTGACCCGTGTGCTCGCTTGCCCTTTCTTCCATAAAAAAGAAAAGAATCTTAACAAAATATACCATTGTTATATTCCCGAGATCGGACTCTTAAAATATCTTAAACACAGGTTGAACGATTCAATAAAGAGTAGTTGAAAAGCTTTTAGAATGAAGCTTAATTATATACTTCCATTCTAGCAAAATTATAAATGTCTATGTCCTAAAATTAACACACACACACACACACACACACACACATGATCTGTTACCCTCTGCTAAGCCAGAGCCAAAAGCTACGGGCTGCCAGTATTATATATGCAGGTTGTTTTTGCGGTAATCCTAAATCTTATTGACTGAAATTCGTTTGCGTTGCCTCTCGATTATCTCAATGTTTAAACAATCAGGTAATCAGACAGCCTGTTTAGCCTTCGCACGGATAATTTGCCTATATCAAGCCAGTCGGTGCGTTTTATTGATTTCAGATATTAAAAAAAATATAAGTTATGGCAAGGGCCAATACAGTGTCAAGTTTTACACTTCTTGTATTTTAAATTAGTTAATTTACAAATAACCCAATCGTTTGCATATTAAGTATTAATTTCAAGGTGACATTTCATTTACAGGTAGTTTCATCTAGTATATCACACAACTACAATTTGAATAAATAAAAGTATGTTAAAAAGTCATTTACACTTTACGTACAGAATATGTATATTTGACGACTTGACCTGTCATGTGTACCCTTAAGGTATTGCAATCTCTTAAGGCAATGCCCAATATAGCCTATAGTACGCGTGTTTTTATGTTAACTTCTTATTTAACCTTATTTGAGATTTTTTAATAAACCATTAAAGTATCTAAGTTGCGGAGCTTGCAACTTTGCTTCCCTTGTATGTACGTACATCCATGTTTAAAATGAACATAATTATCGATTAAAGCATGTACTATATGTGTTGTATATACTGTACATCCTATCATAAATATGTATCGAATTACTTTCGATAACTGACTACGTCAAAATTTTACATACGCATCTGTGTGTGTTTGCTCAAAAATGCAAGAGATTAAAAATAGTAAAGAGAATCCTTTAATTTTTTTTAAGGAATAGAAGTCAAATGAACTGACGCGCATGACGGGTTAATTGATGGAAATGGTCTATACGATGGCCGGGGCCGGTCGTATGCCGTCTGTATGGACAGGTCGACTCAAAACTATGGTAATTCCTTCAACCAGACGCTATATTGCACTCATATAGTTCTCTTTATCATTATTCACGGACTAAAAAATAGACACCTCTGTTTTTCTTCCCGGAGTGCATCTTAGGCAATGCCGGCGCCTTCTAGCTGTAAAGTCCGACTTGTAAAACTATTTGAAGTAAATATATTTGTCCATAAACACCTGCAACTCGAAGGACCCAAGTCCGTTGCCACCCTTTCAGTGCTGGGTTGGGTTGAGCCTCCATCTTACTCACTCGGTGAGTTTAGTGGCGGCCCAATCTAATTTGATTTTCTATAAAGCTGTGGTTCGATCGGAGGGACCTCCGGTCGATCCCGCCTATAATATGTGTCGAAACAACCTACGACGAAAATTATCCTTGAAATACGAAAAGTGGGAATACAAAAACTTTATAACATACGTACAGAGCGGTGGTCAATAAACTGGGACAATGGCAGCCTGCAAGGGCATGTCCATTGTCTAAGTTCACTCGTATAATGCAATACAAATCCACTTGTATCCAATCAATCATTCGATCGGAATCATTCATTCCATTCTCTATTCAATCTATAAAACTGATTGTAATTTATATATAGGTAAAAAATTTAAAGATTCTAATGTTGCCATTTTATACTGCCCACGATATCCAATTTTTTTTTTTTTTTTTTATAATCTCTTTATCCTCTGACAACCATATTTTCTTTTCATTTAAATATTCCGAAAACCTTGGAATAGAACCACCTACTAAGCTTTAGATTCTTCTACATCTAAACGCAGAAATACCATTTTTTTTTTAAGTTTTATTCATTTTTACTTAATAGAATATGAAAAGAACATTATCATTACTGTAATATATACTTTTATGGATCTTTTTTAAAAATCATTACAATGTCGCTAGTTTCAAATGTAGGTAGTCAATTTTCACGCATAAATGTTACCAATTTGGATTTAGCTTTTGTCTATGTATGTAAGTACATACGTTTAGAGAACAAAAGGTATAGTAACGCTCATTAATTCGATACACTGATGCCTAAATACAATGTGTTCTCGAGTGAGCAGTAACGCAGTTACACCTGTACGATTAGAATTATATTTTACCACTACCTGATCATGAATACTTATTGTAATAAATTTTATCAGTCATTCCTTAATTTTCCATAACTAGCTGGTGGAATTTTTTTCTTCAAATTTAAATGGCATTAAATTTAAAGTATACTCTGCCAAATGAAAAAAAAATATTGTTAAATTGGTTTATAGCTGATGGAGTTCAGAGCTAACCTCTACCTTTTTTTTAAAGTTGGCTAAGCATACAAAATATTAGAAATTAAAATTAGCAGTTATATTATCCTTAGGGCTGAAAAAGAAAACCTAAAAGAGTCTGGGTTGGTCTAGAATTTTCACAATAAATGTAGGATCGGTAATTGGGTATTTGAATGAAAATATCTATCTTTCTTATAAAGACCTTCTCATAATCAAAACCTTTTCGCAGAATAGCAAACATAAAACATTCTTCGTTGTTGTGCACATCGTATGACATTGAATTCATGATCTCTGCCCTACAATGCTGCGCGTGCGGCGATGACGTCACAGACACGAATAACGTCACCCTGTGGTCATCTAACATGAATGTGGCACTAAACATTCGGGCCCAGCCCAATTTTATGATGGTCATAATTTTTAATACATCATTTGATCGAATTACTGATAAGTTTTGAGTTTTAATTTTCGTTGATTAGTTAATAATGAATGATTGTGTGGTCTTTATAAATTGTTGATTACAGTTTATCTTTCTAAACATTTGTAATAAAACATAATTCATTAGTCAGTTACTATAATAGGGATGTGGGTGATTCAAGTGTCTTACTTTACTTTCTTAGGGATGGTTTAAAAAAAGTTTTAAAACCATGCTGATCTATTTTACATAACATTCTTGACCCGCCTACCTAGAAGACCTCGATTACGAAATTTTAATTCAAGAAACTCAATTTAACGTGTAAGGCAGCATACCTACTAGTTCAGAAACAAAAGGAATAAAATATGCACCTTGGAATTCATTTGTGTTTATAGTTATTAAGCTTAATTCCTTCAATTAAAGCCAGTAATATAGTGCTAAGAATCTGTTATACAACAACAAAAATTACTATCACAATTCTACATCAAAAAGACATAAATAACTAACACAACCTGCAAGAATCCCGTCTTACTTCCGAAGAAGCACGATGCTACGCGAAAGCTTGAACTTCGGCACACTTCGGGCAGGTTCGGGTGTCAGAGTGAAAGGGCGAAGCATGAGGAAGCGGGAGGAGAGAACTTGTTGCAAAACAACCGGCCACATTCCGTCGCCGACAGCCCAGTGACCTAAAGCTCAGGTTCCATAGACCTGAGCTGGAAACTATAAACAAAGTTAGATTAAAAAGTTTTTAAGTTAGCCTTTATGTGGACCATCAAATGCTCCGTGCCGCTTATGTCACTATTTTTATAGTAAAGATTACGAGTAACTTGATGACTCCTTGTTAAGATGAGTGAACACATCAGACATAAATCGCAAACTCTTATGGCAAAGTTATATAAATACTCGTGTTGGTTAGGAGCTACGTCGATCATACTTCAAACTGACTGACTGTTTTGACTGATTTCTTTTTTTTTGTTTCCGATTTAACTAATCTTCTTTGGAAATGCAACCATTTTCAGACGAGATAAAAAGTGGATAAAGTTGAGTGAGAAAAACGAATAGGCCTAGCAAGCTAGGGTAAGCCTTAGTTTGCTCGGCCTATTAAGGGTATCCCTTAGGATACCTCAAGTCTCGGGTAAGGATACACCAGTAGCTTTGAAGAGGATGGGGTTGCGTGTACTTAAGTCCGCCCAACAGAACAGAGATTGTCAGTTCTGTGGTCCGTCCTGTGATTGGAGAGATCACTATGGTGAAGACGCCAAGATGATATGCCATCACATTATATATTTAAAACCTACTTCTATCTGTAATCTGTATGCATAATAGTAATAATAGTAACTTCACACACAGATATCTGATCCCAAACAAGGCAGACCCTGTACCATGGTAACTAGACTGCTGATATACATACTTATATATTTCTAAATAATAATAAAAATAATATTTCGGTCATATGACACACAGCGCCATCTAGTTTCAAACTAAGCAGAGCTTGTACTATGAAAACTACTTAGATTGACTGAGAGAATACTTATATACTTTTTTTTTTAAATACACACATATTATACATATAGAAAACACCTAAACTCCTAGCCAAAAATTCGAAAATCATACAAACACTCGGTCCGACCCGGGAATCGAACCCGAGACCTAAGCATAACAGTCGCATACGCTACCAAGCAGGCAGTTAATAATTA